GGGGGGGGAGGGTGGTTGGAAAGAGAGAGAACTGATTATCATTAGCAGCGGAGTCCCAGAACACCCCCGGCGCTGCCTGACGCACGTACGCACGCAGACGGCACGTCGTTCCAGGTCGTGGGAGCAACGAGATTTGCTCGTGCGTATGATAAAAAAAGAGGAGGAAAAAAAGAGAGAGAAAGGTTGAATGGGGGGAGGGGGGGGGGGNGGGGGGGGGGGGGGGGGGAGTTGAAAATAGTACGTCGAATCGATTTCGCGAGCGTGTGTACGAGTCAACGAAGGTGTGTACGCTGCTGAAGAAGCGCGACAAGAGACCGATTTCAGTCTGGATTTTTATTTTCCTACCACGAATAAATCTTGCGGCGGAATATTGCATTGTTTTGTAAGATTAATGGATTTTACAGGACGCTACTGTGAATTTCACGTGAGATCATCAAGCATGAAAACGTATGAAGTGATTTAGATAGGTTTAATATAATCTTGTTCGCGACGGAAGTCGCGATGAGAGATCGATTCGGATTGCGAGGTCGAGAATCACACGGAAAGTATCGAGAAACGATCTCGTCGACGTCGGGCAAAAAATCTCGCAAGAATGCGCGCAGCGCATTCCACCCTTAGCCGCGGAAGAGGAAGCCGTCCCCCGAGCGGGGCGGAAGATTCCTATGGAAAAAAAAGGGCTCGGACTCGTCCTCGTTTCACGGCGCAATTGCCACGAGCGGACCGTGACTGTCATTGGTCGACGCTCTCACGGCGCCTGAATTTTTCATCCGCCTGAATAATGAATTAAATGTTCCACGACGACCCTATCGCGTGGAACGCAGCGCCGCGCGTAGATGGACACACGCGTGCAACACGGAGGGCCATTGGCGGTCCCGCGGGTTGTTAGAGAAGCCTGCAGAAGTGACCATCGCTTTGTATCCCGTTGAGTCCTCCTTCGGCCGTTTCGGGAATCGTAGGATGAGCGTCGTCGTGGGGAGGGGGAGAGGAGGGCCAGCAGGAGTGACGGCAGGGTGGAGCGTGGGGGAGGACAAGGTGATAATTTGATAAGACATCGGGAGGGGTTGCCATGGAGACGATACAAAACCCAGAGTCTCGGCCGGAACCCTCCGCAGCAGGCGCCTTCTCCCCTTCGCCTCGCTGCCCCTGTCCTCTCGAGGAACCTGCTCCTTCAGGACTTTGCTCCATCAACTCTGAGACACCGAAGTGTCAAGTGTCCTGCCGCTACTACTAACACCACCACCACCGCGACTACCATCTCGCCATCTCTCCGAGTTTCTTGCCCAGTGCCTCGTAAGATTTCGACGTGCCTTCGACAGTGACGCTGTCGAAGATAAACACGTATCGTGTGGATACAGGAAGAGACAAAGGGAACACGGCACGAGGATTGCGTGTGGCGCTGATAACCAATCCAATATCGCTTTTGTGTCGAGATGCAAATGGTTTCTTCTTCGCGAAAACAACCGTAACATCTTGAACATCGAAGCGGCATTTCCGACACCTGTTAGTTCACTCGGGTCGTATAAGTGACCATCCCTAACGAGAATCCCATCCGACGTTTCCGAGGGCCGTTCGATGCTCGCTACCCGGCTGATTTCAAGAGATCCTTCCACCGTTCTAAGTACAATAGTCGAAATATCCTTCACGAGACAAGATGACCCACTCGCGTGTCCCGCACAGTGTCTCCACGTTGCGTCTCCACAGCGAGATTCTATTCCAAGATTGGGGAGGCCATGATACCACCCCAAATCGTGGAAGCAAAGGACGGGAAGGCTAAATGCAAGAGAGAGACGGGGGATAGGGAAGCACCCCGGAGGACATTACGATTATTACCGAGCGAAACTCGCAATGTGGGACTCGGCATCCCTGAAATGCACCGGCCACATGTGCCGTATCCAACCGAATCCTCTCGCAAGGACTCGGTCCAGACGGTTGGCTGCATTATTTATCGCACGAACTTGCCGGGCTAATTGATCCCTCACGTCCCCCGGATAACGATACCCATCGGAATCACGAGCGCGACTTTCGTACAATGTCCGAAAGTTGACGAGCTTGGGCCGAAGTTGGGATAATTGTCTACCAAACGGATTCAATCCGGGGAACTTTAGCGTTTCCAATCGATTGGTCCGAGCAATGTCCGTGTAGGAATAGAACGAACGCTTACAACGTTTATGTTTATAATTGGTAGAGAAATTTCGATCAAAACGCCCTAACAAGCTCACGCCGCAGCCGCTTACGAATGGAAATCGGACAGTGACGCGTCTATTTACGCTGAATTCTCGCTCGCAGCGCCTAACTTTTCTTTTTTTTTTACCTGAACACGGTTATAGCGGCACGAGTTAAATATCGTCGATCGAGGGAAAGGCGGATTCTCCCGGTATGAGTTTAACCTTTCGAATCAAGATCCACAGGCTACTCACCGGTATGTATGTAGGTGTGCTTCTTCATGTCGCTCTTCTGGTGGAATCGCTTGCCGCAGAACTGGCAGGGATACGGTCTCGTATCCGAGTGGATTAGGAGGTGGGTGCTGAGCGTGCTGGATCTCTTGAAAGCCTTACCGCACTGTTTACACTCGAACACCTTCTCCGCGGAGTGCACGGCCCTGTGTTGCGTGAGACTGATTTCGTGGCCGAAGGTTTTGTTGCACAGTTCGCAGGCGAAAGGTCGCTTGCCGTTGTGCGATCGCCTCGCGTGCACCTGCACGAACGTCGTCGTATACACACTCATACGCAAGTCCAGTAAATTATACTATCGGCAAGCTGTATTACCCAACGTGCCGCGCGTAAAAGACAAGGAATCGGCGAAGACGATCGTTCGTAGGAATCGCGACGATAGTTAGAGTCGTAAGAACGCCCCGGGCGGATCTCTCATTGTGCGCGAGATACAAATCAGAAATGAATCAAAACGACGGAGGGCGCTGGGCGTAAAAAGAGCACGCGTACGAGAGCTCGCTATTTACGCACCTCGAGGCCATGCGGCGTGCTGAACATCTTGTCGCACTTGACGCAGCTGTAAACGTCGCCGAGCGGATGGGGATGGTGCAGCCCGTGCGCCGTGTGGGTCGAGTGCAGCCCCGGGTGACCCGGATGAACGCCGCGCAGCAGCGGGTGCAGGTGCGGCGGCAGAAGATGATGCGGCAGCAGCTGGGGGTGCAGGTACGAGAGGGGGTGGTGCGGGTGAGGCGGCAGGAGTCCGCTCTGAAGGTGCAGCGGCGGATAGAGGATGGACGAGCCGGGTGGCGGCGGATGAGCGCCTATCGCGGCGGTCTCTCTGTGCGGGGACGCGTTCTGGACGTGAGCGGAGGGTGGGTCCGGCCTGAGGAGAGCCGACACGCTGAAGCTGTCGCCGGACCTCTTCGGGGGATGCGAGACCGGCGACGTCGCGACGCTCACGGGCGACGGCGACGGCGTGGACGAGGATCGCGGTGGACTCGAGGTGTCCTCGTGATCCTCCTCGTCGCCGACCTCCTCGACGTCCACGTCGACCTCCTCCTCGACGTCGACGTCCACCTCGGCGTCCCGGCGCTCCTCGGACGGGGGCGAGTCCGGGCAGGGTGACTGCGACGGCGAAGGACTCCTCGTCGCCGGCGAACCTACCAGGCGACCCACTCCGAAGGACAGCCGTTCTGTGAATGAAGCGATTAATGGTGATTAATTGCAGCGGGGTGCCGGATGGCTCGCTTGAAATCGATCGTCCGTGATAGAAAGAGGATCGATTTCATTTATTTTCTTTCTAATCGTGAACCGATGAATCGTTCAAGACTCCCCCTCCCTCACGAGAACACGCCATCGGCCGGTGAGCGAATCACGCCTATGGATTTCGCGCCTCCGGGAGCAGGTGGACATTTCGTAATCGATAAAGCAGAGTTCATACACCAGTCACGAGACCAAGATGGCCAGTGACTGGACGGCGCGGCTACGTCACGTATGAGATACACGTGGGACCGCCGGGTACGGAGGAATCCGAAAAAGGAGAGCGAGCACGGGTAAATACAGTTTCTTCTGGCAGGAGGACCCGAAGGCCAGAAATGAGATTTGAGTCACGTACGGGGCCCTTTTTTCTCCTGGCGTGCGAGGGTGTTTAAGGGACGGCCGGGGGCACGAGAGGTCGTGACAGGATCTCATGTTGCGCTAACGAGGCATCGCGAGGAGAGAGCCGAACAGGTCAGTGAGGTGCCGAGAGCGAAATGTACTTCCGCGACGTCGTTTCGTGAAGCAGTGCCCTTAATGAGATCCCCTCGCGCGCTCTTCCGGAATTTTTCATCCGACGGAGTGTCGTGAGTCGTGATTAACCGTTAACAGCGTTGCGAAATGAAATTACGCTCCCGAGTGTGATAAGACTAAGGGGTGAATAATGCGCGCCCGGCGGAGTGAACTCTTCAACCACACCTTCATCGCGCTCATATATATGGCGGAATAGTTATAGAATAGGATAATAGATTGACACGGCAACGGTTTTACCACGTCGTCGCTATTTATCGTCAGGTATTAATGCGATTACATACTATATAACGTGTCACGTGTAATGATGCATTGTAGCTCTAACGTTTCATGACTAATTAATTTATGACGGGGGAGGTATTAAGCTTTTATCATTATTGGAATATTAAATTAATATATTTTCACGGTAACAGTCGGCGCAAATTGCATCAGGTCGGCAGTGTCGGTATCGCGCGTCAATCGGAATTCACTACGCTCCCTCTGATTATCAAATCGATGATTTCTGACGCAGCTTTGATTTGTACGTCCGCGTTTTATCTGTCGCGCCGCTCAAGTGAAATGTGATTCGCACTCGCGAATTTTGATGTATTTGTTAGATCGAGCGCGCGGAAATGTGTTTACTCTCATTTCCGTCTCGCCCGTTATCATCGTAACATAGATTCGCGCGGGTGTATCTGGCGAGAAAGTTTGGAGAAATCAAGATTTGATTTCGAGATATGATTATCGGCTCTCATGATCCTCGACTCGGCCGCATTGTCTTCAGTAAGCGCATCTGCGTATCCCGAATATTGCTGAAATAATATTTGCCGTGCGGTCTCGCAATTTTCATCAATTTCCGACTTAAGCCAGTAGTAACTTAATTACACAAAAAAAACGGGAAAAAATATCTTTTTACCGAGATAAAAAGCCAGGTGGACTTTTCCCGCACAAAGTCCTTCTTTCTAACTAAATGAGCGCGGATGAAGATTCCAGCGGCGATAAAACCGGCGCGATTCGAGTGTGTCTGATAACCATTCACGATATTTCTAATAATCACGATTCACGGAGACCGTCGTGATTTACAGCGACAGCGGGATCGAGCGCAAATCGTGCAGGCGTGTGTCGCGGGAAGAAAGGGGCGCTCTCGGCTCCGTCTCACGAACTCCCTCGGTGCCCGGCAATTTCGGATCGGGCCATTCATATTGCGTCTCGCGCACACCCGGTATATTATATTTATAATCCGTGCGCGCGACACGCGGTCACGTGCCGAGCTGTGCGATGCACCGGTGCCGGTTAATCGCATTTAAAGCTCTCCGCGAGCCCCGTCGTTGGGGTCGATTATTATCGTGTCTCCTGGCGGCTTTGCAATCGAATCAAAATATGACTCGAGTCAGAGTGGAGAGTCCTAATGTAATGAGAAACGCTCGCGCCTGCGGTGATCTGTCCGAGGAGACAGATAGGTGCTTCACTGTACCGGCCGAAAGCACAAAAGAAGACTAAAGGAGGGGCTAATGAAATTACAAGCGTGCCGCTTTGTTTTTTTACATGCACGCAAAAAGAAAATGTCCAATTCACCTGACGGTGAACATACCAAGCGTGTTTTGTTGAAGCGGAATTTCTGCTTCTTATGAAGTTCTGATTCTTATGAACTAAATACGGTCTTTATTTCGGTTCTTCGGAAAATGTGTTTGACTCGTGTTCCTTGTCAGGTAAATTCAATCAAACTATTTTTCCGTGCGGAGACGTATTTGAAGTTATGTTAATATAGAAATATAGAATTCACCTACTGATCTGAAGCGTTCTCGAAGCTTACGGACTTACAGAAGCAGCGAGATGTATTTATAGTTTGTTTATTCATTCATTTATTTAACGAGGAAGAGACCCTTTGTTTTACAATAGATAATGACGCGTTGTGCACGCGCATTCTTACATTAACATATACACAGAAGCTTTTTAAGATATACAGACGTAAACTGAAACTAAAAAAAGGAGCTAACCGCTAACACAGTCGCACTCGGCGTCCAGCTAAAAATCACAAGAACTTGATCGAATCGCCCCGATGATTACGATAATAATCGGGTTCACGCGATTCGTCGGAAGGGAGATGGAGGGAGATCGAGACGGGGGGATGAGCAAAAAGTAGAAGGAAGTCCGGACAGATGTGAATCGCGCAGCGAGATAGGAAGAAGAACTGCTTACGCAAATGCCGCGTCTGGGTCGGCTGGAATGCGCTAAAAACGGGCAGCGCTAAGAACCGGCTGGCCGAGAAAAACGCGACCGTCCGGCAGATGGGTTAACTTTGGTCCGGGTTTGCGACCGGGGTCTGCGCTAGACGTGTTTACGCACACGTGCACCTAGCAGGGCTGCGCCGTGATGCATCTCACGTGGTCCGTACTGGCTTCCAGCCCCGATACAGTGAATGAAACTTCTTGAATCGACTTGAAAATTGTTTTTGCTACGGCCTCCGCCACGGGCACGCATCTCGTAGCTCGCCATGTTTGCGCGAAGTGCACGGAGTTGCTTAAGCGGGATGAACACGGTGAAGTTTTCAGAGCGTAGCTGCCATGTGAACGCCAACGGACGATCCGGAGTGAGAACTTGTCACCCTGTTGTTCGCTGCAAACGCTCACGCTCCTGCATACTACCCGTGAATAATGTGAGCTCGTCTGTCACCGTCATTCGCGATTTGGGAAAAACACCTCCGAAGGAAGAAATTAGAAATGTTTATAGGTTGCGAATATAATAGTTACAAATGCACGGAGAAATGGCATCGAATCGATAAAATCTCCAACAGTAATGTAAGAATTGGAGTAAATCTTCTTGATGAATAGCAAATACCATTAAAACTACTATATTATGTATTGTTTCAATAATCGGAGCGTTAGTTTCAATGATATCGTTAGTGAATCAAGAAGATTCACTTTAATTGCGCGACGTTGTTGGAAATTCGATTGATTCAACAGCATTTTTTCCCGTGTGTAAATGCAATAATTTTTACGTGGTATTCGCGAGTACGTGTTAAGGAGATACTTTGAAGAGACGAGTGAGACTACGCACGCGAATGTTCAGGAAGTAGAATTTCGACGCGCGCGTTTAATCGATATGTGGAATATTTTTAATGAGTAAACTCAATCGAGACGATTTCAGCGTGCATGCGTTTCATGCGGCGAATCGGCAGAATCGCTTCGTGACAAGGGGATGACGACGATGCCGAAGATGGTTGTGGACGTGGATTAATAAAGGAAGGCCAAGTCGGGGGGACAATTAGATCGAGTTAACGGCCAACTTTAATCTTCTGTCGTCCGTCAGTCGTTTACTGCGTAGCGATCTACCGCTATTAAAGCCGTTACACACGTTTCACGTTCAGCCCCTTCTGTGAAGCCGGCTCATGAAAAAGAATGCGCGCGATGTCAGCGAAGTCGAGTGACAGGATGATGTGGGTTTTCGAAAAACGGATTTTTATCCGGCTGTCAGTGTCTATTTAAAGCTAATCTCGTTGCGACGGATGCGATATCAAAGTGTATACATGAGAAAAGTAACTAGAGAAAAGATTTTAATCCAAATATTTATAGATTTTAATTAAATGAAAGAAAGAAATAGATTATACTAATAACAAAAATGCGTACTAAATAGTATATTGAATTTTATTCCTTATTTAAGTCATGCAATTTTATCTATTTTATCACTTCATGTATAGTAAATAAAATTAACGTTTGTTTGTTATACGTAAACGTTAAGATCTTCCATCGATAATCCGACTGTGCCGAAGATTTCCACTTGATCAATGTGATATACTTTAACGATGACAGATCGCTTTCTCGTCTTTCTTATCTTTTTAAAATGGCTTTTCTGAAAATACCCCCACTCCTTTCGGCAATAAAGCAGACGGTAATAATCCATGTAAATAATAATAACACGAAAACTGCTAGCACGAGCGCCATGTTTGCGCGCCGCGCGAATCTTGAAGGAGCGGATCCGGTGATGGAAGAGCGACGATAAAAGTATCGCTCGGCCGATTTTATCGCGCCGAGAACGAAGATGGGCAGATGAATGGCCGCGCGCGCGCACTGAAGGAGTAGGAAGAGTACGCACGGGCGTTTAACATGACAAGATGTTACTAATTCAGGGTAGGTACGAGCACAAAGGGGCCGACGGCCCGAATCCCTGTGCCCGCGCCTCTAATCTGCTCCAATTGGGCCGGCAGGAGTTAGAAAGGCCCATGTCCATCCGCAGCATGACGCGTGCTACCATTTATCCCAATCGTCGGACGACCGGTCGTTCTTAATGATCGGCAAATAAAAACTTGCCGTCATCCGGGCTCGAGGAGGAAGCCATCATCGAGGGCGAAAGGTCGGCGCTATACACCCGCGCGCGTCCACACCTTCCGAAGAGGTATAGGAAGCGAACGGGAGATGCGCAAAGTAATGATTGCAAATCTGATGTACGACAAACGTCGCAATTTCTTGTGACAAATCAGCGACGGAAATCAGTAAGAAGAAAAGTTAAAAGAAGCAAAGTCAATCTCCACCTTTCAGAGAACAAGAGGATACTCAAGAGTTTATAGTTAATAGAAACGTTAAATTTTCAAAAGTCAAGACTACAATTTTATAATTACCTCTCTCTATTATTGTATTGTATAATTTGTGCGTACGATTCATTTAATATTTTTTGAAATAAGTGTATGTTTATATATTTTTTTCTAACAACCTTTCATTGAGACGTACTTAAAGAGATGTGAACTATTTATATAGCGGAATTCAGGTATTCAGGTATTCAGGTATTCAGCTCCTCCTGATATGTTAAGTGTGAAAATAGAGGGTATATGAACGGGCTTGAATCCGACGTCGAAAGATTTTTGTCACAATATCGCGATCTTATTCAATTGAATACACAAACTTGTCGATAAAGTGAATTACAGCCTCCCCCACGCCGCAGAGCGCACATACCTGAGTGACTCTTTGGTAAAGGTGGCAAGTTTGTGACTTCCGTGGTATTCCCGAATGGCGCCCACAGTCTCGGAAACATTAAACGGACATTGCAGCCCCCTGAAACAAAAGCAGAACAATGCCATGATATTACATTAAGTCACTTGTATGTAAAATAAACACATGTGTATAATTGGCGCGAGACACCGCGTCTCTCGATCGGACTCAAAATAAATAACCGAAGATACGAGAAATGAGAAACTTGTCAGATTAAAGTATTGATTTTATATATCGATTCATTGAAATTCCCTGAATCCCGATAAAATTCCCAGAGAATTTCAAGTTCTTCGGACTTTTTTTTTCTCCACATAGTAGATATCCGGAAGGTGCGCGAAATCCGATATGAGAAGATGGCGATGCAAGCGGCGAAACGATCGCGCATTTTTCCCAATCGTTTATGCATCGTTACCTCCGCCAACCACTAACAGCAGCAGTGACGTCTCAAGTCCTGACAAATTTAGTATTCCTGGTTCGTAGGAAAGATCAACCCCTCGACAAGAGCGTCTTTATTAGAAAGGAGGAGAAACCCTCCTCTATTTATCAACCTTGCTCCGACCATTACTCGCTCTCTTTCTCCCCGAAACCTGCATTCCTATCCCCGAACATCCGCCATCCATCCTGGTTGGTTTCTTTGATCGTCCTGGCGGAGCATCAAAGTTCGAACTTCACGCCAAATCGCACTTTGATGATTAATCAGAAATCGAGCGAAAGCCTTGCTTTCCGTTTAACGCACGGAATATGAAGATATGTACGACACATCTAATTATCTCTCCCTCTTCCCTCCCCTCACCGTTATAATTACATTGTTGTGTTGAAAAAAATTATGATAGACTTGTTTATTCGTGTGCAACTTTTTCCACGGTATTAACAATTGCTCAGCTAAGCGTGAAACGGTTACAATTGATAAGATCGATGTATTATATCGAGTTTATGTTTAAGCCCATTAAACTCTGGATCACAAACATTACGCATTTGTTTACACAACATAAGTATTTGTTTTATTGTTCAATAATAATACGGGAGTTAGCGACTTCCGATATCAAAACAATGCACACGTGGAAAAACGGAGGAATCTGCAACCATAGCAATGGGGAATTAATCGCGATAGTAGAGAGAAGTTGCGGTTCGGCCGACAAACGAACGTAATCCACGTCGGCTTTCCTTTTTTAACACAGACCCGATAAAATATCAAATCCAAGCTTTACGAGCGTAATCCAAAGTCTATCTAATCGTTCAACTGGATCGCGCTAAATCAGTTCTATCTTCTTCTATATCAGTATAGTATGCGTCATTTTACACACGCCGCCTCATTTCACTATCGAATAAAGGCGAAAAAAGACTATTAATGAAAAATGAAAGGGTAAAATGAAATTTCACCGCGCCGTGATAAGTAATATTATTGAATCGGAACGAAATATAACATATGCCACATATGCCACAATGTTTTATTTTAATAATAGTAGAAGCTTGTGTGTACATGAGTGCGTGTGTGCGCGCGCGCGTGTGTGCGTGTATGCACTTTGATTATACCGATTGCGCGAATGTTCTATCTTTAAATCACAAGTTCAAACTTATTTCAGTAATGATATCAAATTTATCGAGAAGACTCTCTCTCTCTCTCTCTTTCTCTCTCTCACATACATTAAAATTAAAAGATATCAGTGATTGATTATAACAATTCCACAGCTAACGATGCGTGAAATTAATTGCGCAGACATAAAACCCTGACTTTTTGGCGATGAAAAAGGTGATAAGTAGAAATATTGTTATATTTAATTATAACATTTATCTGTTGAATAATAAATTCATGATTCACTCGATGGGTATGATGAATCTTCGCAAATATTACTCTCGGTGATCGCCGTCTACCGCCACAAAGATCGATCGTGTCGATAGATGACGAGCCGCCGGCGGGGTCGGATATACCGAGAACCGACCGAAAAAAAAGAAAGAAAAAAAGAAAACACGAGAGAAATCCGTAATCCCTGCAATATAGGACCGACCGGGATAATCTGCGATAGCGCGAAGAGATTAGACGCTCCGCGCCGCAAAGACTGTCTCATTCTCGTAGGATTATCAGAAATAAATCATATTTTCCTATATAGCGAACGCGCCGCGCGCTCTCGAGATAAGGTGGCCGGGTATAACAACATCGATACGTGTGTATACACAATGCAGGTAACACGCGTGTTTGTCAGCGAGAGAGAGAGAGCATCGGCGATATCGGCGCCGTTTGCTCGCGCCGCGACGCTTATCCTGCGTAGTCCGTTTCGCGCTATCGTCCGGTCGTAAATCTATAAAACGGCAAAGCCAGCGTGATTTACCGTGGAAACCACCGGCGAACGCAGCTGCGTGCGATCGACGAACCCCTCAGGGTCCTAAGATCGAGAGGATCGTCCGGACGAGCCGAAAGTGATACCCACGTTGAGGTGACGCTGAATTAGCGCGTTTACACGTTAGACGCGCGAAATACAAGGAAGACTGTGGTGACACAGCCGATAGAAAAGATTTGTGCGATTGAAGCAGGTGTCCGGTCTTTATTTCGTGCGTGACACTGAGAACAATATTTATCGTACCTTTCATTCAAATAATGGACACGAGTAGAAGTATCGCAGTCAGGTGAACCATTTTCTGCCAAGTGTTACGATAATGTCGGTAATAATAATTTTACATGCAAATATCACGTGTGACTGCTCTCCGGTTTGATTTCGACGGAATTCACGGGCCTCCAGGAGCCAAAGCACGGATGTTATACAGTGCTATTAAATATTAATATTGTCAACATTAATACGTCCGTGGGAGAGGATATTACGTTCGGACGTGTATTAAATACGAGTTCTGATCGGTCAGCAGAGAGGTCCAGGTTCGACTCCTGATTGAGACTTTTCGCAACGTTTTATGTGGATTTAAATAAATCCCGGGTTAAGTTAAAGGAACAAGGAACATTACGCTACAAAATGACGGGAATGAAGGATACTCTTGACGTGTAAGGATTCCCCACACACATAGAGGATAATTTGGGTGTACACGTACGGCCGTACGCGTCGAAGAGTGTAATACAAAACTATACTTACGTTGATGTTCAAATTATTACGGGAGCGGGCGCGCCAATGCGCTGTATGCGCGGAACCAAACGACGTCCTCTTTAAAAATGCATACACACCTTGTATTTCTCTGTAGTAAAACCGTAGTAAAACTGTGACCGTACGTCGAAAGGCGAGATAATATTAAGGGAATACCTTGGAGTGTCGCGACTGATAGACAAGATTTTAAGCGCACTCTTTCCGTAAAACCGATGCGCGTGCGCTCTGCGCCCGCCGGAAGATTAATATTGACAATATTAATATTTAACGGCACCATAACGCGCGTGCTTCGGCTTCCGGGGGCTCGTAAATTTCACATATATCGCTACCGCTGTCATTTGAATTAAAACCAGAGGAAGATACGGTTGAGGCCGAAAATGGCTGGAATTTTACTTGGATTTCTCTCGGTGCGCAAGCACCGAGGCGACACCCGTCCGCAGTTTTTTTTTCTAAACCTATATGTGTAGACGAGCGAAGATATCGAGCGATGTCGGGCGGCGGAAGAAGAGCGCAGTGAAGCCCTCTCGACTAGCTGCCTATCACCTGGCAATTATCGCTTAAACCGCTTAGCTCAACTTAGCCTATGGCTCGATATTATTGCGTTTAGCCCGTTACCGCGATTAGTAGCGGGGTATTAGTACAGGCAGCCGTCTAATGCTGCGCGAACCATCCCCTCTCACCTGTTGAACGGTGACCGTAGTGCACGACGGCCCCTCTAACGCACCTGTACGCGCGTGTGTCGTGCGTGCGTGCGCGCTCCGGGCGCCGCGTGCCTCTCTCGCGCGATTCGCACGCGTGTGCGTGGCGCAAGCTCAGGTGTCGAGCTACCGCGTAAACGCCACGCCGCCGGGATAATAGGCAGGTAATAGATAGGATGATGACAGGCGAGAGATGGCAGGGGGTGAGTTTCGGGGGCGCGCTTCGTCAGAGAGCGGCAGCCGGAGGGAGGACGTCAAAGGCTCCGAGCGCGATATGCGCGATGTTTCGGCTGATTATTTCGGATGTATACGCTCTCTCTCTCTCTCTCTCTCTGCACGGGGAATGCCGATCGGTTTATCCGAGGGTGTTCCGGTTGGGATAATTGATGGAGACCGTCCGGGTTTTTCATTACTATAATGCGCCACCCGTGAGCTCGCGTATGCGGCCGACGCAAGAGCGAGGTGTTTCGTTCGGGGTTTGAAAAACAACGCAACATAACGCGTGACGTGCACGCGTTGCGTGCACGCTTCCGCGAGATTGAAGCCAAATGTCAGGCTAGAATCCCCCCTTTTTGACCGGTAACTTTTATTTGGTAAATAATATTAACCGCATTCCACGAGGGCCGTCTTATCCGATTCAGAAACGTTATTACGTGTCATGACGAATGTGCCAATGTAAATATCACCGTTTAAATAGAACGTGTGTTAATTTGTTCCAACCTGATCGGTTCCCTTCGATAAACGATACTGAGATTGCTGAAAGAAATGCGGCGGTTCGAGTTAAAAAGCAGAAAGTGGTTGGGAACAGTGTTCGTCAGCGCTGATTGTCTCGAGATATCATAGATCAACGCGGACAGACAACGCAGGCTTGTTCGATCTGGCTCTTACCCTCGGCGTCGATGGGTATCTGCGGATTCTCTTGAAGATTCTCGTTGTTGTTGGTCTCCGGCGGCAGCGGTTGCTGGTGCACGAGCGACGAAGCCGGCTGTTTGGGCTTGACAACCCGAAACGCTGACGCCTCGGCGACCCCCCGTCTCGAGAAGTCCAGCGGACCCACCCCGACAGGCGAGTGTTGTTGCTGCACTTCCATCATCCTGGACCTCGAGTCTATTCACCTTCTTTACAACTGTCGCGTCACTGCACACGATATTCGCATCCTCCTCCACGAGGAAACCCTCGACACCACGGGTCTTCACGGTCCTTTTACGCCTTCTCTCAGCTGACGAACCCGATGCCACACGATTTCCCCTGATTCGACTTCCAACGAAACCGTCCGTGAGTGAAAAAGTTCCCTCAAAGCAGTCGCCGGATTCTTCGCGTTTCCGGGAACGGCGGATTTAGTCGGAGACGTGGCGGAAGAGGGTGGCTCTTCAGGAATGGGATTCACCTCTCGAACGGCGACACGCGCAAGCAATCGGCCCAACGAAAGACGACTATCTGTTCGCGGACTTCATCCTTCCGGGAGCTCTCGGTGAACCTCGGAGCAGCGAACCTCCGCACAAGCACTGGAAGTCCCTTCTCGCGGGCACAGTCGGGGAGATCACACTCGAAGCTGGCTGGTGATCGCGATTCGTCAACACCTGGACGGGTAGGACAGCCGCGACGGTGGATACGTGTCGCGCAAGAGGGGCTTCCGGTAGTCAGCGACACTGATTTCCGTGCGGTCCATCGGCCGTAGAGGACAGGTCGCGGCGAGCAACCGGCTCAAGCCCGGGGATGTGAGAGACGTTAGCCGTTAGAGAGCGGGTGCTGCTCGACGTCGACTGCTGTTAACGGGTCTGATAGTGGAGGGACGACTCTCACGCGATGACGGCCGGAGAGCGGCAGGCTCGGGGAAGGAGCGAGACGGAGAGAGAGAGAGAGAGAGATCCACACGTACGCGACGCGCACATTGCCGGTGTTCACACCGAGAGGGAGAACATCCACACGGACGCTCGATACACACCAGGATTTCGGTCTCGGGCTCCGCCTTCCAGGCACGCCCTCGCAATTTCTACTCCACCCATACCACCACCAGGTTGTTCAGCGTGTCTCGACGTGTGTCTCGACGCACCGACACACCAGCGACGCGTCGATCCTGCAGAGAAGTGGGGTGCCCGAACGCTACCCCGGCGTCGTTGCTCCGACGGTCGCGGTGGGGTCGCCGATGGGAATCCGCACTTCTGTATGGGTGCGTTTTATAGACTCCCTCTCTCTCTCTCTCTCTATCTTTCTCTCTGCGTCTGTGCGCCCGAACTGCACCGAACACGAAACACACGCGTTGCGCTCTACGCTCTCTCACCTCCGGCTTGCAGCATTATGTGGAACCACTCGGCCACCCTGATTCCACTCTTGACTCCACTGATTGATATTTGCGCGCTGCCCTCGCACACTTGGACGTACGTACGTGCCGGCAGCCGGCGTCCGTCCTTCACTACCAGCGAAGGTGGATGCTGGCAGGAAAACGAGCGAACATCTTAGAAAAAATTTAGGCAAGCGGCCCGACGAAGAAGCGGGCTGCTTGCGCTTTTACGGCCGCAGGGGTGATTTCTGATATTTCTCGCTGGGTTCGAGATTTCGAAAGAGATGAAATCCTGCCCGCGGCCCAGCCGAGTATTTAGATCACGTACGTTCTTTAAGGGAACTGTGCGTTTCCGAGGGATGTTCTCTTTTGACGAGAGAATTTCGGAGAGAACACGGAGGATCAACATGCGCGTGATGCTGGGAAAGAACGTAATAGAATGCGATTGTGTGATAGTGTGATTAGCACGAGTAGAAAAATATGTTTCAGATAGACAGTTTCACAAATGTGTGATATCACGGGGGAAAAAATCATTTGCTGGCGCTACGAATTTTCTGCTGTCTCAGTAAAATCTCAGTCAGTTACTGGACAGCAAAACAATTCATCTTGCTGAATCTACAAAAATTATTTGCCGTAAGAATAAGTTAATAAATGTAGGGAAACTTTATTTTGTTCTGCACAACAGCAAATTAACATGTCCTAAGGAAAAATTCATTCGGTAAAATTTTTCTAACCTGGTAACAAAGCTATTTCTGCTCTAATTACGAATAATTCGCTAATTTGGTTGTACCAACACGGAAAAAGGAATTGGCTTGTTTCATGTAATACAACTGAAATTTAGTTACCAGACCTAGTTTTTAGCCGTGGGAGCTACAATTTAGATGCGGGGACATAAAGAATTTGCTAAATTAATTAAATTTCAGTTGTATTGTATGCCGATTTTTGCCTGCGGAAGCTAATTTTTAGCTGTGGCACATAATTCTTTTTTTTTTCATGAATTAAATATTATCACTGTCGCAACAAATATGCAGCAATAACGACGGTTTCGCGGTGACAGCAAAATTATTTTTTTCCTTATGCACAATGATGAAGCTAAATTAGAACTAGAAAGCGCATTAAAGTGATCCTTCGCTGAGATTTCTGCGACACTATAATATAAGTAGTTTATGAGGATTTCTGAAGATATAAAATTCTCTGTGACAGCTCTTTTACGCGTAAACACAGATAGGACAGGATTGCTTTATCTTTAATTTTCATAAAATTGAATTTATCCGCGATAGGAACGTCAGACGCCTTTTATGATACGCGCGAAGGGATAAATCCGACGCGATATCGGGCGGTAATAAAGTTTATCAAGCGCCTCAAACAGTTTTAGCGTTTTAACACGTCGCCGAAACGGCGACGGTGTTTTCCGAACTGACATGCCTTCCATCCGATAATCCGGAATTTTCGGTGCAACGACACCGTCGCATATCCCGATAAGGCTGTGTGCAATGGGCTTAAATTTTCGTTGGCAGAAACATCCACGGTGCCATTGTAGCACCGTCACCTTCCTTTTGCGTTTAATATCCGGCGCACATGAGGCGCATCAAAGATCCGCCAGTTGCATTGATCACCGGCGCGTCAACTCGTCGTTGCACGTCTCCCACCCGTCGCGCCTTTCGGCTCGATAAAAAACGAGATTATGATTCGATTATAGAATACCGTCCCGATCCCGGGGACGCGAAGAATGCATCGATTTTGTGCGAGACGGAATTTGCGAGAGTGCGCAGTTATTGCGCTCATGTGATTCTCTGCGTCATGCGTCTCCGCCGCCGCCATTCATACTTGGCGCGTTTATTTGTCACAATATCGGTTGTGAGATTATCGCGCAAAATTTTCACGATGTCGATCGCCGAAATGCAGGCGGAATAAATTCAGCGATAATCGGTTGTACGTTTCGCAATGTTCATTCATAATCTTTAACATGAGACAGCCAACCTCAATTATCGTCAATCGATTGCAGGCAATGGTGTGCTTTCGATATTCTACAGATAACTTATCTTGAACTGGTTGGTCGGCTTCGCGCGTAATTCAATAGAGGAAAAACCAACATAACATTTTGCCTTTGGATTCTAATGCCCTGTTAAAGGTGTAAAATTACAATTTTATGCGCATGGATGCAAACCAACAACAATGTTCTATCATAACATATGACAGTCTTATGAAAATTATTACATATTTCTTTGCAAATAATTACTTTTTGAAGTATTTAAAGATTCACGTATCTAAGAACTAAACCCAAAACCAATTCAGCCCCAAGCATCGCACACAGTAAACAAAATTCATGTTCTGTCCGATAGAGCTCAGTAGTTCAATCGAGAAACGTGGGCATGTCGGTTTACCGTGCCTATGAGTATTTACGTAAAGCCCGAGAGGACGCGCATTAACTGTAACAAATGAACTCGTGCATCGTTCGTTTATTAAATTCACCTCGTCGACCTGCGCGGTCTCTTTCGAGGCGAAGGATGTGTCTCCTTCTCTGAAAAAAGTTGCCGGTATAACTGAGAAAAGCTTAACGAAATTTTCCGAGAAGACGGCGCTCTCCCGGTAGATCATTCTCCGCGCGTACGCTGGGAAATCGAGGAGCGCAGCGGTTGCAGGAGTAGTTCAGCCGCGGCTGAATGCGCAAGGTGTAGCCGGGGTGTACTACCGAGAGTGTCGTCGTCTGGGGCGTAAGTATCCGCGAGCGTGACGCGAGACGAGATGTTGGACGTCAGGCGAGACCGACAAACCGCATCAATCATACTCACTCACTCGCTCGCATCGTCGTATGTTTTCCCCGGAGCACCGAGGACGTCCCAGGGCCGCTCTATCTTCGGGGAGAAAATTGCTTACTCTCTCATACCGCGAATACGGCCACGATGGCAGCGACGCAGGCGTGCGAAAAGGCACCCTTGGTGTCGGCCTGCGAAGAAAAAAGGGCCGAAGGGGGTAGAAGAGGCGGAGGACGAGGTTGAGAGCATGACGGCGGAAATTACAAGGTCGTGGCGAAGAAATCGGTCGCGCAAGGCTCTTCTGGTAACTTAAGGACTTCAAAAATGTCGGTTAAGAGATGGTTTGCGAAAAAACGTTGCTCGCTCTTAACTGATCGATTCCGTTGTTTCTAAGGGACATTCCAAAATATATAAGGAATGAGCGGACATTCAAAAACCCAACGAAAAATAGACACCGATTACGTTAAAGACTACGATAACAATATAAAATAACTGACACGATGCGCTTGACATTGATATATGTTGCAGAGGGGATTTATTCTCGAGTGACATCGGCTTTGAATCAGGCAGAGCGTTTTCTTATATAGTTCCTAAGATACTTCAAGACAAGAAGGTTTTTTTTTTAATTTACCTTCGGGACTATCCTGTAAGGACCCTCTTATCGTGTAATCGATTACTTCCGCCGACGAAAAGTGCCAATGAAATCTCTCGTTCGTTACTAACCGCAATGAATCCGTTTGTCACGCGAAAAATCGGCGCTGCTCCGTCACGTGGGCGAAAAATTACGTCATCACGTTGATCCGTATTAATCAAGCATCGATTACACGCGTTATATCGCCGAGAGAACGGACGTCCATGTTTACGAGCCGGCACCACCTTAGCAGACTAGTTCAACAACGCCGGATATACAGGCGGGCGGCCGGCTGGCGCCACGAATTTAGTACTTGATTGTCCCGTCGAACAATTGTTTCGCCGGTGGCAAATGCGAGAGAAGAGAGACCGCGAGTGTCTCTCTCTCTCTCCTGCCCCCCGTCCGTCTCTCCGCTCCGCGTCGAAGTGGAGGAGACATCGCGCGGCGGTCAGCATGACTCACTCTCTCAATCGAGGAGAGAAACATATTAGCGATTGTCTTTACCAATTGGGGATATGTGGGTGATGGTTATCGCCGGGCGGAGAGAGCGATACGTGTAAAATACGTATCGTCGAAGCGACGCGCACAATTATATCGCGCGTTGGGCGCGCGAGCGCGCATGTGGGCACGATCGCGCGTACACGCGGGCCGCAGATGGACCCCTGCGGGTAGACGAACGATCGTTTTACCGTAAGTACGCGCTATCTGGAAACTGAAACGTAATTGGCAGAAATTGGCTCCAATTTAAAGCGATTAATCCGGATCCGGAGAAAGAATCCGGGCGCGAGTCGATCAGCGGTGCGATCGAGCAGCTCGGCCGCTCAGACCGCCGCAGAATGTTTTTCCAGTACAATTTTTCCTCCTTTCCGTCGCATTCTACATTATTCGCCGGCGACTGGACAATTTTCAACGCCACGGGAAAAAAGATGTAACGCGCACCGCGCATATAATACTCTCTAAAGTCAGTCACTCAATCAGTGCGCTATCACTGAGAAGCATATATATCATTCCGGTATAGTCTGGCATTACGAAATATTTTCGTTCCTTTTACTACAATACTTTCCCCGCGTCGGATGCGCTGCGAATGCGCCGAATGCGAGAATCATTTCCTCCGCGTCGGCATAACATGTAATGAGAGGTATTTCATTAATTCCGCGTGTCAATCCCCGCCATCGATATCTCGCCGCTTGTTATCGCGCCCCATATGACGCAGGATTTCG